AAAAAAAAAAAAAAAAAAACTTTGTTTAACCCGTTTTGATATAAAACTGTACATGTCAATTTCTTGCGCATTTATGACTTTGGGGACAATATAAAATGTAAATCATGCTTGGCATAAGTAGTAACTTTGTTTGTTAGATAATTTTTTAGCTGTATTTTCTTGAAATAATTTAATATCGATAATTTTTCCCTCTTTTTTCTTTATGGCAGGACCAGGAGCTGTTGATTACATATTAGACCACTCTGAGATTGATGTTGTTTTCGTTCAAGATACGAAAGTAAAGGAAGTGAGCATCCTAAACACATTTCCTTATTGTTTTAGCTGCATCAGTTCTCCCATAAAATTCGTGTGAAATTTCTGACTCCAAAAAATCCTCATTGCAGCTACTGAATCCTGAATGCTCTCATGCTCAAAGGCTAAAGTGTGAGTGTGAATCTAAATTTGTTTTATCATCAGTTGAAAATATTTTTACTGAGTTTTCTTTTCCATATAGTGATCGTTTGCTTCACTTCATTAACGGGCGAGCAAAAGGATAAGGCTGCCTCTATTGGCATCAAAACATATTCTTGGAAAGAGTTCCTTAATATGGTAAATCCCCTTTCCCTTTATGTTTGCCATCAAACTTTTTTTATGACCAAACGTTCATGTTTAAATCGCATTTTTGTTCGTGAATAAATTGACATTGTTTTGATTATTAACTTAGGGAAGAGAAAATTCGTGTGAAATTTTCCCTCCAAAACCGTCAGATATTGGTACGATCATGTACACCAGTGGCACGAGTGGTGATCCTAAAGGTGTCATATTAACCCATGAAAACATTTCAACAAACATAAGAGGCGTGGATCTTTTCATGGAGCAATTTGAAGATAAGGTTCGTGTGATTTCTTCTTCTTCTGCAGTTTGATATATCGTTATAATCAGACATCTTTTTTTTTTAATGTTTGTAAAAAGTTATTTCAATTAATTATTGGGTTCTTATGAATTGGGTTTTTGAAAATAGATGACGGTGGATGATGTGTACATTTCATTCTTACCCCTTGCTCACATTCTCGATCGTTTGATCGAAGAATATTTCTTCCACAAGGGTGCTTCTGTTGGCTACTATCATGGGGTAAGTTGTAAAATCCATTACCGAGTTCTGTTATTTTATTTTCTGAACAAGGAAAGATACTAATCATGTCCGATCAACTTTTTTTTTCTCTGGCTATTGAAGAATATCAATGAGATAAGGGATGATCTGCTTGAGCTAAAGCCAACATTTTTGGCCGGCGTCCCACGAGTTTTCGAACGGATTCATGAAGGTACGAGTACCTATATTTTGCTTTTCTTAACAGTTTTAATATGCATTCAACTTTGACTTATTCTATACGGCTAACATATAGCTACATTCTATATGTTATCCAGGAGTCTTACAAACTGTTGGAGAACTGAACTGGAGAAGGAGAAAGATTTTCAGCATGCTTTACAAATAGTAAGTAGTAGCCTCATTCGGCTTCTTGGTTCTCATAGAATACTTTTTATTTATTTTAAAAAATAAAACTAAATATGAATAAGATTATTATGTTAATATTCTTGCATCCATGATACAGCAAGCTTTACTGGTTGAACAAAGGGTACAAACAGAAGGATGCATCACCCCTGGCAGATCTACTAGCTTTTGGGAAGGTTGCCTTTGCCCTTTATTTTTCGATTTGCTATTCACATTTGTACGGTAATATCCAATTATGCCTTAGGGCCTGAAATTGAATCACTAAATTTACTGAATTTATGCTCTTGAACTTCAACCGGCATTTTAAAAAAATGAAGAAACATACAAGCTTGATTTTTGGTTGACTAAAGCAAGGAAGTATGAAATATTGGGGTTGCTAACATTTCGAGTTTGTCTTGTGTAGATCAAGAGCAGGTTAGGTGGCAGATTACGTTTGATTGTCTCTGGTGGTGCAGCATTAAGCTCTGAGGTCGAGGAGTTCCTTAGAGTTACTTCCTGTGCTTTTGTAGTACAAGGATACGGTAAACTAACCTTTTGAGAGAGAGAGAGAGAGAGAGAGAGAGAGAGAGAGAGAGAGAGAGAGAGAGCAAAAGAGTCATCTTTATTTCACACAATGCAACTGGTGCAGGGTTGACCGAGAGTTGTGGATTGTCGACTATTGGCTTTCCAGATGAGATGCGCTTGATCGGAACAGTGGGTTCCTCTTTCGTTTATTCCGAGATCCGTTTGGAGGAAGTTGCAGACATGGGATACGATCCGCTGGGCGAACCCTCACGCGGCGAGATATGCCTCCGGGCAAAAACACCATTCGCGGGATACTACAAGAACCCGGAATTGACAAATGAAGTCGTCAAGGATGGATGGTTTCACACAGGTCACGACACTGAAACTAAATTTAAATAAATTGCAAAACTAACCCTGATGTTAATTTCAAGAGATAGCTGGATTGTTTTGTAATTTGATTGAAACCTTAGAAATTGATCCTCCCTTTTTCCAAAACATCAATCTTATTTTCAGGTGACATAGGAGAGATGCTGCCCAATGGAATTGTAAAAATCATTGATCGGAAGAAGAATCTTATTAAGCTATCTCAGGGGGAGTATGTTGCCGTTGAGTATCTGGAAAAAGTTTACACTATTACACCCATCATAGAAGATGTAAGCATAAACTATAGTCTAAATTCAGTATGCAATATATTCAAAAGTTGTAAATTTTGTATGTGCTGTTATTTTTCCTTATTTACCAACTGTCGAATGGCACTTCCTTTAGATTTGGGTGTATGGAGACAGCTTCAAGTCCATGCTCGTCTCTGTTGTGGTACCAAATGAAGAAAACACCTTAAAATGGGCTAAGCAAAACGGCTTCAAAGGGTCCTTTATGGATCTATGCTCTCTTGACCAGCTCAAAGATCATATTATCCTCGAGCTAAAATACACAGCTGAGAGAAATAAGGTCAGTTGTGTTAATCTTGAGAAAGTTAGGGATAAAGAATACTTACATGCTATCAAATTGTATCCTATCAGGGATGCAATCTGTAATCTCAACGATAAGCGAGCATATTTATATAATACAAATATATATAATTGTTCTTTGACAAAAATTTTAGAACTTGAGTTCTCGGTTCGCTACTTTAATCATCCCTGTGAACTATTTTATGACCTTGACTTCAAGATGTAAGCATTTTTAAGTCAGTGAAATAAAACATTAGCCTGAAATTGACTCATTGGGTTCATTGAAAATTCCATTCCCTCATATCTGACTTCTAATGGTAATTCTCTAAAAGTTTCTTTTTCTTTTTTTTTTTTTTTTTTCCCTGATACCAGCTGAGAGGATTTGAGCACATTAAAGGTGTAATAGTCGAGCCTAAGCTCTTCGAGTTGTCTGAAAAAGAACTGGTGACTGCAACACTGAAGAAGAGGCGAGACAGATTACTCAAGCAATACGAGGTAACTAATCCTGGTACCGACTTAATTTTGTCTCTCTTACGATTTCCGAGAAGGGGAAAATAAAAATGCTAGACAGGAAGCTAATGATGAGATAGAAGTTCATTGTTTGATCGGCTGTTATACAGGCGGAGATCGGTTCCCTCTATCAGAAGCTAACCAAGGCAAGGTCATAGTTAGTTAAAGAAGCATGCAGTGGAAATATTTGCATTGAACAGCATTTGCTACTTAGCTGTTCCTAAAGAAGATGAAAAACTTTAAAACAATAATTTCCATTTTCTAAATGGATGTGTGTGTAAATTGTAATGTTGCTATGAGTACATGTGGGTTTTCTCCTTTTTCTTTTTTTCGTGATCTATATTAATTATGCTAGCATGCTCCAGAAATTGAATTGCTTCCTGATCAACAACAGTAAACAGAAGAAATTTAAACAAACAGTAGTGATTTCATAAACTATGTTAAGACACAAATTTATTTGGTGAAGCCAGCTAATGGTTAGGCTAGTCGACTCTTCATACTTCTCAAAAAGAATGTATACTTATAATGTGAAATGTCGTACTTTTGTTCAAGATTCTACCTAATGATAAGATTGTAACAATGTTAAGATTGTACCTCATGATAGAGATTGTACCTAAAGAAGAAATCAACTAACGAATTTCGTGCAACTTTCAATGTTTTGCAAGCATTTTTTTTTTTTCATTAATTTGACAATTGTTTGGTAACATTGATATTATTCTGTCGGCCATATCTATTCTGAGACACCGGAAAATGACGTCATGCTTCGATTTGTCAAAACAAAAACATAAATTCTTGTATTTTTCCTATCAAATTTGAAAATCGTTTTTATTAAACAAGAAAATGTCATGCTTTTTACTTACACAAAACAACACAGTATAAAACAATCAAGCTGAGCTTGACTCGTTCAGTTAAAAAGCTCGATAATCGAAAAACGAGTTCGGTTTTGTTTGTCAGTATTAATGAGTCGAAATATAGATTATTAAATAAAAGTTTTTTATTTTTGAGTCATAATGAGGCGAGCCGAACCGAGCTCACGGGCAGGTCGAAAATCAATGACAAATTATAAAGCGCTTCATCTCCTCCCAAAGCACGCTTCATCTCCTCCCAAATGCGCTTACCATCAACAGTGGCTCATCTCCTTCGCCCTTCTCCTCTTTGCTCTTACACCCTTCCAACTAGCACCTTAAACCATAAGATCAACGAGTGCGTGCGCAGCGGCGACCTCACCGCCGCCCGGAAACTGTTCGACGACTATCTCCACTCGACAAACGCCGTCTCATGGAACTCCCTCATCAACGGCTACGTGAAAGCCCGCCAGATTTCACATGCCCAGAAACTGTTCGACCAAATGCCCCAACGGAACATAGTTTCTTGGAACACAATGCTTTCCGGCTTTCGAGACGAGAAGGCCCCACAAAAAGCATACCAGTATTTTCTACTGATGAAGAGGCATGACGTGAGGCCAGAAGAACTCACGCTATCCGTGCTTTTGAGCGCGTATTTGAATACGGAGTTTGATGTTTTGGTCCCTCAGCTGCACGGCTTTGTGATCCGTTCGGGGCTCGACCTTAATGTATACTTAGGTTCCGCCTTAATGAGGGGGTATGTTGGTTTGAATGATCGCGATGCTTTTCGCAGGGTGTTTGATGAGATTTCGGTCAAAGATGTGGTGCCCTTCAATGTTTTGATCTTGGGTTGTATGGAGTTCGGGCTGACGAGCGAAGCCAAGAGAGCTTTCGATGTGATGCCTAAAAGAAATGATTTTTCTTGGAGCATAATGATTAATGGGTACATGAAGAATAAAATGGTTTGTGAAGCAAGGGCAGTTTTTGACGAGCTAAGTGAAAAGGAGGTCGTGTCTTGGACTGCAATGATGAGAGGGTATGTGAGGTGTGAGAAGTTCTCCGAGGCTCTTGATATGTTCCTTCTAATGATGAAGTCCCAAACACGTCCTAATCATTACACTTTCTCGAGCATTTTGGATGCTTGCACGGGATGTTTGTCTCTCGTCACTGGCAAGCAAATTCATTCGTGCATTGTGAGATTCGGTGTCCCCTTAGATGTGATTCTCGCCACATCCCTTGTCGATATGTATGGTAAATGTGGAGATGTAAATGCTGCATTCTGCATATTTCAATCCATGCCGACTAAAAATTTGGTCTCGTGGAACTCGGTTATTGGGGTGTATGCGAGGCATGGACTTGCATCTCGGGCATTAGAGGAGTTTGAAAAGATGGTGAAAAGTGGTTTATTCCCCGACGAGATATCGTTTATAAATGTTCTATCGGCTTGCGTGCACGGAGGACTTGTTAAAGAAGGAGAGGAGCTTTTTACCTCCATGCGAGAGAAGTACAAAGTGAAACCCGAGATGGAACATTACTCGTGCATGGTGGACTTATACGGTAAGGCAGGTAGACTAGAGAAGGCCGAGGGATTGATTAAAACGATGCCCTTTGAGCCGGATGTGGTTGTTTGGGGTGCGTTGCTCGGGGCATGTGGATTGTATTCTTGTGTCGAGCTTGGTGAGATTGCGGCAAGTGGGTTGCGGAAATTGGAAGACGATCATCCTGCAGTTTATGGGGTTTTGTCGAGGATATATGGTGAGAATGGGGTCCGAAGTGGGGCGATCCAACTGGATGAGATGATGAGAAGATGGCGTTCTAGAAAACAGACGGCCGGGAGTTGGGTCGAATGAAGTCGAGCTACAGTTGAAGGACTGCAAACGAACCGAGCCGAGTCGAGCATTGGTCATATCGAACAAGATTGATTTTATTTTGCCTGCTCGAGCTCGATTTATGACGCTTGAGATCAACCACAAAAGAAGACAATCGCTCGAGCTCGGCTTGAGATCGATTGAAATCAAAATGCTTGAAAGATTGCTCGAGCGCGGCTTGAGTTCGACTCAATTTTCAAGTAAAATTAATATTAAGTACATATATTGAAATATTGTAATATTTATATATTAGGGGTATTTTAGCAATTCACTACTCGATCCGCTCGCGGGCGGCTCAACCTTCTAAAACCTATGCTCGAGTCGCGCGGATCATTTGCAACTCCGTCCTATGAGGATGAACGTGTACTTGGAAAGAAGTAATTTTTGTTGAAATACAACATGTTTAAGAAGAATCTTTGCAATTCCATGAGATAAATTGTTCTTTTTTTCCCTGTAATTAGGTGGAAGTGAGAGTTGGTGTTTGTAGCTCAAAGAGATGTGAACCTGTTTGTTCTTGTAATGTAAATGCAGGAAAGAAACTATAAAAAATGAAATGGGGGCATCAATTAAATTCAAGATACTGTCATAAATCATACTACAGTCTACAGCAATTCGCACAAAAACACAATTAAGTATCAAATTAGACAAACAAACTGCCCTCAACAACTTAAAAACCTGTGGAACTAACAAACAAACAGGCCACTCAAAATGTCTAAACACCAAGAAAACACATCAGAATTTAATCAGATCAGACTCAGATCCCTTTCTCAAGCATGGCTCGAACCCTCATAGGCAGCCCGTAAAGCCGTATAAAACCAGCCGCATCAGCTTGATCGTAAATCTCCCCAGTCTCAAACGAAGAAATATCCTCCCTATAAAGGCTATACGGGCTTTCCCGGCCCGTCACACTTACTGACCCCTTATAGAGCTTAAGGGTCACCGATCCAGTCGTGGTCTTCGTGATTTCCTTCATGAAAGCATCCATCGACTCGTGGAGCGGGTCGAACCACCGACCCGCGTAAACCAACTCAGCGTACTTTAAGGCAAGAGAGTCCTTTACCTGCATAGTCTCACGATCGAGCGTGAGAGACTCAAGCTCACGAGCCGCCGCAAAGAGGATTGTCCCGCCTGGAGTTTCATAGACCCCACGGCTCTTGACGCCAACGAGCCGATTTTCGACCATGTCTATGCGCCCGATCCCGTGCTTCCCGCCTAATTCGTTGAGTTCCGAGAGTAGGGTTGCGGGTGAGAGTTCTTTCCCGTTTATCGAGACAGGAATGCCCTCGACTATGCCGATTTTCAAGTACCTGAATTTTAAATTAATTGGGAATAATAAAGTATTAAGAGATTTGGTTTAATAGAATTGATGGGTATATATTGCATATGTTTGTGTGCATATGTATATGGATAAGAAGAAGCAAACAGACTCAGGTTGGTCGGGTGCTTCTTTCGGGTCAACGCTCATCATGTACATGTCCTCCTTTGGCTCGTTTGCTGGGTCCTCCAAGATATCCCCCTTTTGGTTTCATATAGAAGCACGAGGTTATTAATGTGCAGATAAGGACTTTGATAGGGAAAATGCTATTTGCCAGTGAAACTCACAAGCATAGAGAAATTAAGGAACTAAATTCTAGAGATATAGGCTATGTTTGGTAAAACTAGCTGAGATAAGCTACCCAAAGAAGCTTATGAGATAAGCTCGAGCTTTTTAAGAAAACTCGACCTACCAAACGAAATTTATTTAAATACAAGAAGCTTATAAGCTAACCAAATAAGCTATAAGCTAACTTATTTGATTACCAAAGAAGCCATAAATTGACTCTTCATTAGCTCTCAAATCCCTACAACGCGTTATTTAAGTAAATTTCCATTGATGCCCCATAAAAAGATCTCCACAATGATGAAGAAGATGAAAAATACAGAAACCAAAGTTGCTAAGATATGAGAATTCTCAAAAAAAA